GAGCCCCGCGTCAGGCTCTGGGCTGATGGCTCAGAGCCTGGAGCCTGTTTCCGATTCTGTGTCTCCCTCTCTCTCTGCCCCTCCCCCGTTCATGCTCTGTCTCTCTCTGTCCCAAAAATAAATAAACGTTGAAAAAAAAAAGTATAAAATTCAAGAATCCCAGGTATATGAAGTAAAAGGTAAAAATCCTTTTCTCTCCCTCTGGTCCCGTTCACTCTTTATGACAGGAGAGGAAATAACAAACCTTTCTTCAAATAACATAAAAGGAAAAATAAAAGGGTCGAATAAACTTAAAACCACCTTTGTGATAAAGATCCCCCCTTTTTTCAAACTTCCTTTAACAGTGTGTTGTTTCTGTTGCTGTATCCCCTCCCGCCCCGTTTCTCCACATATTTGTGTCTCTTTTCCTCGTTGATCTGGAAGATTCTGCATGGCTCCCCGGACTCCTCGTGGGTCCTCAAGTAGCTTGGGATTGCATTGGCTAAAGGTTCAAGGGTCTGACGGTCTCCTCTCTCACCAGCAGGGGGCCGAAGCACCTCACAGACATCCTTAGTCTTTCAAATCTTCATTCCTTTACTCATTTAACCAAGATCTGTAGAATAACATTCTTTTGAAGGAGTCAACATCTCAGTTACCTTTGGCCACGTGGGGGGCCTCGTCAGGCCCCTTTGCCCCTCAGCCTGTTCCTCCTTTGTAAACAAGAACGCTGAATGAGAGGACGTTTAAATTCCTTTCACTTCTAACATTTTAGGATTCTAAGAAAGCAAATAATAAAGAATATAGGGTGTGTGTATAGGCTCGCGTGTGCGTGCACACCCACACGCACATTTTTAATTACTTGAAGGTTTACCTCAGAGATGATAAAGAAGATATTTGCTCAGGACTTTTCTCTCTTCTCCCTCTAGTTTCTGTGTCTGTGTTTTAACTGTCCACCGGTCTCTGTACCTTCTGTTTGGGGTCCTGTTTGTCAAGACAGTAATAATATGTTGCCCATCTCTAGAATACTTGCAGTCCAGCCTCCAATAAAAATGGTAGCAGCCACCATTTTATTGGTCCCTTCTAGGTGTGAAATCATTTTTAGACCATGTCCCTAATCCTCAGAACAATGCTAAAAGGAAGGGTTCATTGTCTTAATTTGACAGGAGAGGAAATCGAGGCTTAGGGGAGTTAAATGACCCACCCAAGGTCATTCAGCACAGGGCTCGGCACATAAGAGGCCCTACATAAATATTTGCTGAATCAACCTGGAAAGAATTAGACCTCAAACCCAGGTCTAGCTCACTCCAAAGCCTCATGTTGTTTCCACACACTACCACACCTTTTGTGGCCTCCAGAGCCATGCATTTGATTTATGAAAGTCAGCAGATATGTTTCTGAAAAGGCCTTCGCCAGAACAGCCCCAGCACAAGGTAGGGAAGGATGTCAGGCAATGAGTGTAGGCGCCCTTCTATGTGATCCGGTTCCCCAGACTCGCTTCCAGAAGCCGAAGAGGCTGGCATTTCGAGTTAGCATTCAAACTACTACTTTTCAGAAACGTTTCTGCTCAAGGAACCAAGGGGGCAACCAGCCCAAGCTGTAAGCAGCATCAGATACGGAAAGAAATCGCTCAGAAATTTGATTCATACTTTTCAGATGTAGTCACGTTGGTTTGACAACGTGGGAACTTTCATCTAGGTATTTGAAAGCCGTCTGTAAAAAAGTACGCAATTCTGTGGCAAGAGCACCGACGGGATCCGTAAATCAGGTTCCCTGTGTTCTGCCCTGTTAAGAGGCTGTGTGCCTTTAGACAAGTCACTTGACTTCTCTGGGCTTCGGTTTCCTCATCTGAAACACAAACAATTTGGACTATATAATCTTTTAGCTTCTTCAAGCTATAAAAACTGGAAAAAAACTTTTCTTGTTCCATGCTTATTATTCTCATTTCTCTTGAGGGAAATGGACATTGAGAAGTGAAAGATCTTGTGTAACATCACCCAACAATTTCGTGAGGCAATACAAATTAAAAACAGATTTTAAAACTCTGATGTTCACCACCCTTCTTAGGACATGAATCATCCGTACCCTGAGCCTGATCTCATAACTTGGTTGTATCCTCACATTAGTTCTGTGACCCATTTAGCACGTCTTCGACACAGAGAATCGGTGCCTTGTGAAATGTGCACTCACCTTGTCCGTCTGACTTTGTGGGGAAACACTGCCCAGCTCATATGCCCTGTAATCAATCCTTCACGGAGCTTGGTGTCGGGACTGGCAATTTAGGCTGCTAAAAATGAAGTCTGCTTCCCTGCACATTTTTACGATTATTTACAAATGTGCTGGTGACTCCGTGTGCATGAAGAGACATGCCTAATCTGGGGCAGAACGTAGCCCAGGAGGCTGATGGACGTTTTCTTCCTCCACCTCCCTGTTTCTGTCTCTATTTCCCTCTGGACGGTGGTCACTGCCTTCCAGGCTGTGTAACACTAATAATATCTTTGCATCATCTTAAAAGCAAGGATGTGGGGCGCCTGGGTGGTTCAGTCGGTGGAGCGTCCAACTTCGGCTCAGGTCATGATCTCGCGGTCCGTGAGTTCGAGCCCTGCGTCGGGCTCTGGGCTGACCGCTCAGAGCCTGGAGCCTGCTTCGGATTCTGTGTCTCCCTCTCTCTCTGCCCCTCCCCCGCTCATGCTCTGTCTCTCTCTGTCAAAAATAAGTAAACGTTAGGGGCGCCTGGGTGGCGCAGTCGGTTAAGCGTCCGACTTCAGCCAGGTCACGATCTCGCGGTCCGTGAGTTCGAGCCCCGCGTCGGGCTCTGGGCTGACAGCTCAGAGCCTGTAGCCTGTTTCCGATTCTGTGTCTCCCTCTCTCTCTGCCCCTCCCCCATTCATGCTCTGTCTCTCTCTGTCCCAAAAATAAATAAAAAACAAAACAAAGAAACAAAAAAAGTTGAAAAATAAATAAACGTTAAAAAATTAAAAAAAAAAAAAAAAGCAAGGACGTTATAATTGCGAGGCCCATGACTCTCAAGCCAGCTTATCCCTTCCAGGCTCTAATCAATGAATGCCAGTAGCATGCGTATACTGTATCCTCTAGAAGGGCTCAATTTAAACATACATGTTAATTCGATAGAGAGCCTGACAGTAAATCCACCGTCCCAGTTGGAAAGCAGGCCTGTATTTAATTTGTGTGAAATTGTAGAAAGCTAATATCATTTCATTGATTAACTTGATGAGGCACTGGATCAGGGATGTTTTACATGTCGAGTTATTTATTTATTTATTTATTTATTCATTCATTCATTCATTCATTCATTCATTCATTCATTCGATTAGAAAGAGAGTGAGCGAGCAACCCAGGGAGAGGGGCAAAGGGAGAGAAAGAGAAGGTCAACCAGGCTCCACACTCAGTGCAGAGCCCCACACAGGGCTCGATCCCACAACCCCGGGATCGTGACCTGAGCCGAAATCAAGAGTCAGACACTCAACCGGCTGAGCCACCCAGGCGCCCCACATGTCAGGGATATTTCAACGAAAGGAAGTTCAGTTTGCAGGGGCCACCGTGTTCAAGGGGATAATTACCCCAAGTGTGCACTCGGCTGCATGTCTGAACCACAGTAGGGTCAGCGGCACGCCTCCCCACGGGGTCTGCAGTATATGTTCCCGGACATAACAAACGCTTGGCTGGCATTGACCGCATGCCAGGCACCCCTCGAAGACTTTTGCATTTATTGACCCGTTTAGTTCCCATAATCACCCTGTGAGCTGAGTCTCCTCGTTGTCTCTGCTTTTCAGATAATGACCCTGAGACAAAAAGGGGGTTGAGTAACTTGCACGGCCAGGGTCAGGCCGGGCAAGGATGCATGCAGGTGGCAGCTCCTGGTTCCCAGACGCTGCTTCCCATGTCACCCCGGGATGGAAGCAGGGACACCCTCCTCTGAGCTCTGGACAGCCACTCTTGTGCCCCTGTCCACCTTCTGCTTCACCTGATGGTAGGGGGTGTGCCCGTCTCACCACCTGTCCGGAAACTCCTGGGGTCATCGCTGTCCTTTCCTGACCCCAACACCCCTCAAAAGTGCATGGAATGAATGAGCCCATCTCCAGTCTATGCATCCCTCGCTGAGTCACGGAACACCCCCTGTCCATTTTGCACTGTTTTGCTGCGGCCCCTCCATCCCATTCCTAGAGTGTGTGAACTGCTAACAGATCGTGCTGTATCCTTCCTTGCACCTTAGCACAAGCCCTGGTCCACAGTAGTTTTCTTATTTTTTCTTTTAATTTTTTTTAACGTTTATTTATCTTTTGAGAGACAGAAACAGTGCAAGCGGGGCAGGGGCAGAGAGAGAGAGAGTCAGAGACAGAATCTGAAGCAGCCTCCAGGCTCTGAGCTGTCAGCACAGAGCCCGACGCGGGACTCGAACCCACAGACTGCGAGATCATGACCTGAGCTGAAGTCGGACGCTTAACCGACTGAGCCACCCAGGCGCCGCAACATCCAACTCTTGATTTCAGCTCAGGTGGTGATCTCACGGTAATGAGTTCGAGCCCCGTGTCAGGCTCCACACTGAGCACGGAGCCTGCTTGGGATTCTTTCTCTGCCCCTCCTGCCACACCCTCCCCCGCCGCCCCCCCCCCCCCCCCGCAAAGATAAACAATCTCCTCAAGAGACCTCATCCCCTTTCTTGGTTGCTCCCCCAGAGCTTCCAGGGTCCCTTCATTCTGCCATCCTGCCCCATTCTGAACAAAACAGTGTTTTCTTGCATGAAGTACGCTCGCGGCCTCTCTCCCTTTGCAGCTGTGATCAGAGGTGTGGAGACTTTGGTGCCAGACAGAAACATATGTGTGTGGTGGGGGAGGGGTAGGGAGGGACAGAGGGCAGAAAGGAGGAAGGTGTCTTCCAAGGGGCAAATCTCAGAGTCAGAGACAGTTTGAACCAGAAAGAGCTTCTGTGACCTTGAACCCCGGGCTCAGCAGAACAGCCCTTCCTGTGACAGTGTCTCGTCCTGAAGCCCACTGGTGGGCCAGGTACGGGCAGACTGCTCCTCCAAGCTGCTGCCAGCTTCCCTGGCTCCCTGTGGACGCCTGGCATGTGGCCGGAAAACCACAGATCTTGACGCCCCCACAGATGAGGGGCCTGAGGGCCGGTGCCGCACCCTGGGGACAGAGGCCGACTCTCCCGCCGTCCAGGCGGTGCTGTCCTCTTCACTCTGGCCACATCAACCCGACTAAAAGCTTTCTCGCTTCGATGAAGTCAGCAGGGTCGTTGGACACATTGTCCTGAGATCTGAAGACCAGAGGCATTTGTGGGGAAAAATTGTTTCCCCAGGAGCCTAACATCCCTGTGTGATTTTGCCGGGGGCTTAACCACAGCACAGGATTCTGGTTCTACCTCAGGCACGTCCTCCTCCTGTTAGATACTTTTTTTTTTTTTAAGTTTATTTATTTTGAGAGAGAGAGCACGAGCAAGAGAGGGACAGAAAAAGAGGGAGAGAGAGAATCCCAAGTTCGGTGCAGGGCTCGAACTCACAAACCGCGAGATCATGACCTGAGCTGAAACCAAGAGTCGGAGGCTCAACTGACTGAGCCACCCAGGCGCCCCCCCTCCCCATTAGATCCTTTTAAGCCCCTCAGCAGACCCCTCAGCAGTTTTCATTCCTCTTGTGTGGCCTTTAGCCAATGATCCAACAGAGGCTATGTTTTGTAGGCCAAGAAGCAGTTTGACGAACCGTTGATTTGAAAGTATTAATCGGACAGAATTTATGAAATCAGGACTCAAAAGCTCAGGCTGCATAGCTGGCTGCAAGCTGTGGGACTCCAAGCTTCCTATAACCCACGGACATGTCTGGGGTGAGGAGGTCTGTGCCCTGCTCCTCATGACCTCCCTACCCTATCCCAGGGTCAAGCGAGTGGAGATCTTTGTCCCACCCTTGGCACCCGCACAGGCTGCCTTCCGGGACTTTAATCCTTCAGAAGGGCTCTCAAAGTGCGTTTCAGCCAAACGTCACCCAGGTGTGTGTTGGGTGGAGGGATGGGAGCACATGAGCCAGTCCTCTCTTGCTTAATTCCACTCTCCAGGTCTTTAACCTCCATGGGAAGGTTCGGCTCCATTGCGGCTGGCGTGGGCAATGCAGAGGTAGAAACGAGGACGAGGGTGGCCACGCACCGGCTCTCACCCCTCTGCGTGTATTGACTCAATTAATCCTCACACTTTGGGGCAGGCCGGGGAGACAACAGGTATGACATCCACATAATTCTCTCAGTGCTCGATAGGCAGCTGGTAGGGCTGAGATCGATAGTTCTCTTCCCTTCTCCCTTCCCACACCCATTTTTGCTTTGCTTATTTTTGCCCTCTGGGGGTGGTCTTGGCCAAGAAACCAAGGCAGCTAAGTTCACCCCAGTTGCAGTCTGGATTCTTATTTCTGGGATCTGCTCTGAGAGGCCTCAACTCACCGAAGCCACGAAAGGTTAGTCATGTGAACTGTCATCCCAGAGGTGAAAGGTCTGACTTTTTATTGCCCGCCCAGAGAGCCATTCACCACTTCTAGCAGTTGCCGGAGAGGGCCTGAAGGCTCTGCATTTGGACGTTTCCCTCCAAGGAGCTTAGAAACCTAGCTGGGAGTCATGTGAAGGTAGCGGTGGGCTGGTAGACCAGCTGTCCCCTCCGCGAAGGGGGGGAAGTTCTGATTGATAGCATTTGCCAATTTCTGTGGTGTAAATACCCCCACCCGGGGCCGCTAGCAAAACCTCCGACATTCTAACAGTCCCCCTCTGGAGCTGCCACGGGCCAGCTCCAGCAGACTGCTGCCTGGACAGCTCTTCTCAGACATTCCTTCAGAGCAAACAGGCAGCACTCTGTCCCTCCAGGCTAAGAGGTGACAGCCCTCTTCATATTTGGCCTGGCCTCCAACCAGTTTGCAACACAGCAGAATGAAAACATGAGCTAGGTCCAGTGGGGTTGCCAGATCGAGCAAAGAAAAACGCAGGATTTCTAGTTAATGTAGAATTTCAGATCAATGGCGAACAACTATTTTAGTATCACTATGTCCCCCCAAACTGCGGGGGACGTACTTACACTAAGATCGTTTGTAGTTATCTGAAATTCAAACTCACCTGGGCAGGGTGGGCAGGTAGCTTTTATTGGGCAACTCTAGCCCCTCAGACACGTAGGTGCCCAGAAAATTGGTGGGAAACTGATGGCGGGCGTCGAGCGTAGCAGTGAACTAGGGGCGAGGGAGGTGCGTCTTCCTCGTTCACTGTTTAAACCTGGAAGAGTCGCGAGTACATGTCCTGCTTCAGCTTTCCCTGGACTTAGGGACTCTCCAAGCTAAGAGGCACCCAAAGAAAGGTGTGTGGCCCCATGTCTCTGATTTGCAAATAAGGAAACTGAGGCCCAGAGGGGCGACTTGCTAAAAGTCAGTTGGCGCGTGTAGCAGCACTGAGACGGGAATTTGCGGATTCAAAACGCAGGAGGATTTTTGTTTTTCTTCTATCCTACACCTTCGCATTTGAACATTAGTTTGGTTTAATGCTTAAGAGTAGTGGATTCTGGGGGTACCTGGGTGGCTCCGTCGGTCGAGCGTCTGACTTCGCCTCAGGTCATGATCTCACGGTCCGTGGGTTCGAGCCCTGCATCGGGCTCTGTGCTGATGGCTCAGAGCCTGGAACCTGTTTCAGATTCTGTGTCTCCCTCTCTCTCTGCCCCTCCCCCACTCGCACTCTGTCTCCTTCTGTCTCAAAAATAAACGTTAAAAAAATTAAAAAAGAGTAGTGGATTCTGTATGTTTGGTGGAGATGGGCAAAATGGGTGAAGGAAATGAAAAGGCACAAAATTCCAATCACAAAATAAAAAAGTCACGGGGACGTATCATACAGCATGGCAACTACCGTTAATAACACTGTATTGCATATTGGGAAGTTGCTAAGAGAGTAGATCTTAAAAGCTCTGATCACAGGAAAAAAATCCTGTAACTGTATGGTGACAGCTGTTTATTGGACTTACCGGGTGATCACTGTCCAATATATAAATATATTGAATCATTACACCGTATACATGAAACTAATAGAATGTTATGTGTCAGTTATCCCTCAATCTATAAAAAAAGAGTTGACTTTGTACTAAGACCCCCTGGGTTCAAATTCGGGCTCTGACAGTTACTAGCCATGTGACCTTGAGCCTTATCTCTTTTGGTCCTGTCCTTCTGTCTTTAAAATGGGGATTAAATGAGTTACTGCCGGTAACTGGGTGACTCAGGTGGTTAAGCATCCGAGTCTCGATCTCAGGGTCGTGAGTTCAAACCCTGCGTTGGGCTCCACGCTCGGTGGAGCCTACTTAAAAAAAAATCATAAAGTACTCAGGGGTGCCTGGGTGGCTCAGTTGATTAAGTGTCTGACTCTTGATTTCTGCTCAGGTCATGATGTCACAGTCTTGAGATTGATCCCCTTGTTGGACTCTATGGTGTAGAGCCTGCTTGGGATTCTCTCTCTCCCCCCACTTGCTCTCTCTCTCTCTCTCATACACTTAAAAAAATAAATAAAGTGCTCAGAACAGTGCCTGGCACACAGTGAGTGGCCACTCAATAAATAAGTGCTAGCCCTACAAACAGCCCCCTAGAAAAATCTCTTCCTTGTTTTCGGTAGCTCCTCGAATCTTCTCCCACGTGCGGGACTCGGCCTAGGGCGCTGGTGCACCTGATTCTGCTGCACGTCTCATGGCCTACCCCATTCTCCCTGGTGATCAGCCCGCACTCTACACCCAAGATCACCATCACCTACAAAGTGGGAATCTGTGCCCCTTCACCCACTTGCTTTAAGCGAGGCTCAAAGGATTCCCTGCATTTAAAATTCAGCACAGAAGAACCTATTAATCTCACTGACTGATGGCCCTATCCCAAATATTAAACCTTAATCACACACTTCTCAGGCCAGACTGGAAAGTCCTGGAAAGCCCTGGTGGCCCCTTAAGCTTTCTTTCTGCCCCGAGGAGAGTGGTAGGGATTGTGGAGACAACGAGCCTGGGTGACAGAGGTTGGGGAGAGCAAGTCTGCAGTCCGGCTGCCCGGATTTAAATCTGGGCTTCACCATTTACTAAATGTGGACCCAATGCCTCTGGGCCTTCCTTTCCTTAAAATGGGCCTGCTAACACCCCCACTGCAAAGGGTTTGCGTTCATCATGCCCTTAGCATTGAATTCAGGTACGGCCGTTAGTAGCAGTGGGGTGTTGGATAAATGCATCCCCACGTGCCTCGGTGTCTCCACCTGTAAAACGGGGACAGTAGCCCCTTCCTTGTCAGAGCATTAAATGAAGCAACCTTTGAAAAGCTTGTGGCATCGAGTAGGCACCCGGTAAACTCTCAAGTCAACGGAACGTCCTTTTCATTTCATGCCACTTGCTTGGCCAACTTCCGTCAGCATATACTTCCCCCTGGTAACTTGCCTGGGAAATGAGCCGAAAGTCCAATTAGCTGCAAAAGCAGAAATGAGCTTAGAAATCAAGCGTTTGTTTATTCCTCTCTCTCTTACCTCCGTCGTTTAGCATTTGAGCCTCGTGAGCCTGCCTCCTTTTGTTTGAGAATTAGAAAGGGACTTGTTTGGGAGGAAGGTTGTTTTTGTTTCGTTTTGCTCTGTAAACAGAAACGTTCCCTGCTTTCTCCTCTGAAAGGCTGAGGAGGAAGCTGAGTCAGGTGGGTGCGGTTAACGCGACAGCGGTCATCGGTCCCTCACCTTGGGTTTGGCGGACCCAATCAGCACACGCTGACTCACGCATCAGCTATACTTAGCATCCCATCTTGTGCTCACTCCTCTAATGCCATGACAAAACAATAGCATTCTTCTAGAATGCAGGGCAGCATGGTGGAGGGAGAGTCAGGGCTTTGGGGGTCCCAGACCTGGGCTGGAATTCCAACCCCAGCGCTTGGTCACTGAGACAGTGACTGGGCAGGCTAGGAAACGGTAGAGCCGAGCCGTCACCGGGAAAGTGGTGGTGCCATCCTGGAGGGTTACACTGAGGCTTAGCGTGGATGTAATGGATGTAAAGCTCGCAGAAGAGCACAGTGGAAATGAGTGGATCCCAGTGACACCACGTTCTCTCCCTTTCAGGATAATATCCCGGGTCCTGGCTTCTACGATGTCATTCACCAATCTCCGGTGTTCAACAGTGTCTCGCTGTCTAAGAAAGGGACGTGCACTTTTCCCTCTATGGTGAGAACCCCCTCCTTGAGTGAGGCCACTAGCGGGATCAGTAATTTCCTTTGCTCCTTGCATAAACACGTGTTGGTCATCTGGTCCCTTCTCTCCAAATGCCGTGGTTCTAATTAGGAGCATAACTGCCACCTCACGTGTCACGCAAGTAAATTAGAGCCTGTGTCTTTAAGTAATTCCCCTCCCCTGCTAGACGTTGCCAGAGTGGGAAGAGAGGCCAGAGGGAGATCCAGGACCTGATCATCCACCATCCATTCTGTCATCACGGAGTGGGCTAAGCAGATGTTTTCCTGAGATTTTTAGGTTCCGGGGAAAAGGTCTCACTCTAATATGAGGTTTTACACCGCTTGGTCTCATTGGGTTATTCAAGATATTGAGAAATCTGATGGGGGCAGAAAGAAAGCAGGCAGCAGGCCTGAAATGCAGCGATCGTCCTCCCCTCCCTATTTCCCTTCTTTGTGCAATGAGGGTCTTTATGTTGGTGGATGGCTCTAAGAATCAAGGAACTCTATGAAGGCCCAATGTCCCTGAACAGACTTGGGCAGGATTTTCTTGTTCTTTATTCGAATCTTTGTAAATTGGCAAGAAGAATAGATATAGCAAGGGAAAAGGGCCAAACTAGGGTAAGACCGGCTGAGGTAGGAAAGTGAAAAAGAAAGCAAACCCAAACTTGCATCAACAAAACATGTATGCCATCTGTCCCTTTAAATATTAAAATACCTCAAGGAGCACTTGGGTGGCCCAGTCGGTTGAGCATCCGACTTCAGCTCAGGTCACCATCTCGTGGTTCGCGGGTGTGAGCCCCGTGTCGGGCTCTGTGCTGACAGCTCAGAGCCCAGAGCCTGCTTCGGATTCTATGTCTCCCTCTCTCTCTGCCCCTCCCCTGCTTGTGCTCTGTCTCTCCCCGTCCCCCTCTCTCTCAAAAATAAACATTAAAAAAAATTTTTTTTAATTATCTCTTGCAAAGATGTATTATAATGCCTGACATTGGAATGGATTTAAAAAAAAAAAAAACAACAAAGAAAACAACACACAAAGGGTCCATTTAAGACACACTGAATGCAGCCACTTACTGGAATTTGAGTTTGGCAGAGGTGAGTACTCAAGGAGCGAGTTGACTTTGGAGCTAGCTCCCCATCAGCAAAGCCCTTGAAGTCACACATGCCCCCAGTGAGCTTACAGAGGAACCACGCCCTGCAAACAAAGAGACCTGAAAGTAATCTGCAACAGAAATGCCACCTCACCAGGCTCTGGCACCGGAGACAAGACTGAAGACCTGATCCTGACTCAGCTGTGGATGCTCGACGTGGCCTCAAGCACGTCACCCTTCTGTGTCCCAGTTGCCTCATAAAAGTGGAGACTCCCTGGAGGCTCTGGGCAAATTGCAATGAGCAAAATGCTCTTTGAAACTGGGAGCATTGTAAACATGCTAAATATCATGAGTGTTACCACCTGAGTCACAAACAATAGCTCCTGCAACACCTAGGTTTTCTCTGAGACGTTCGTGGCCGGTCAATTCCTCCCGACGAGGCTTTGCGTGCGGTAACTTTCCAAACGAGGAGGCTGGGCCGTCTGGAGGAGAAGAGGCCCAAGGGAAGGTCGGAGTGTTACAGAATCGAATCACGCCTGTCGGGTCTTTAAAACATTCAGACCAAACCCAAAAAGAACGCAGGCCGTTGAGTGGTGCCGGCTTCCCCTCCCCGATTTGATGGATATGGGAATTTCTTTTTTTAGACATTTGGGTTCCTGGCAGCAGCCGGCAGTGGCTGGGGGAGATCTATTAGGAGATCCCACATCTCACCTAGCTTTCTGCGCAGATGCAATTTCGTGCCTCTGCCCCCGACTTGGTAACTTTCAGATTCGTTAGTTACCTCCTCCTTTTCCGATCTGAAGACTCTGAAGGAATTAAAAGCAGCCCTTGTCAGAGAAAGATCTGCCTGACTGACCCCGGTCTGGCCAGGAGGAGCGCGATTGTAGGTGAGGCTGACCAAAACACTCTGTGGATCTATAAATTCTAGAAACTTCCTGATGGTTGTTGGAACCACTACACCCAACCTTTGGAGGGGACCTGTGCTCTCTCTAAGTCCAAGTAATTTAAAGAGCTTCATTAGCATATTCTAAATCTTTGTTCCAGAATTATTCATGACACAGCAGTCAGTCTGGTGGGAGGAGACTTCCATGGCCTTTCTGTATTTGCATGGTGGCAGGAGTGGTTCTGGAAGGCCTAGTTAAATATAGTTGGGCTTCTTTATTGTAGGACTTCTCAGGGCACTTAATATGGCGGCGGGTATTATGAATCTTCAAAATGGGAAGATGCTGTGAGACCCTCTCAAGTTTATTTGGCTCTGGAACTCTCCCCCTGCTGCTGCGACCGCCAACACTCACTTACCTTATGCACCTCGCATGCCAAGAAACACTTTGGGAAATAGTGCTTTAGAAAAACGCTCTTGCCTAATCTGTTGAGTGACTCAGGATGGGAATGCTACAGACAGTACCACCAGGGAGGGTTTCACCTTCCCACCCTCTTCCTTTGGAGTGAAGAGGAAAGAGGAAAGATGGGTCTAGCCTAGTGGGCAGAGGAGAGAGAGCATAGCGATTCTTCTTGAACTAGAACCTTCCACAGTCATTTATCCGCTGGCCAGCTTGTAAATGAAAACGTGTATTGCTTTATTCCTTTTGACCCATTCCTCTTTAAAATGAGACATCTAGGGGCGCCTGGGTGGCTCTGTCGGTTGAGCGTCTGACTTTGGCGCAGGTCATGATCTCACGGTTTGTGAGCTCGAGCCCCACGTAGGACTTGCTGTCAGCGCAGAGTCCACTTTGGATCCTGTGTCTCCCTCTCTCTCTGCCCCTCCCCCACTTGCTCTTTCTCAAAAATAAATAAACATTGGGGCGCCTGGGTGGCTCAGTCGGTTGAGCGTCCGACTTCAGCTCAGGTCACGATCTCGCGGTCCGTGAGTTCGAGCCCCATGTCGGGCTCTGGGTTGATGGCTCAGAGCCTGGAGCCTGCTTCCGGTTCTGTGTCTCCCTCTCTCTCTGCCCCTCCCCCGTTCATGCTCTGTCTCTCTCTGTCTCAAAAATAAATAAACATTAAAAAAAATAATAAAAATTAAAAAAATAAATAAACATTAAAAAAAAAAAAAAAAA